TATTAGGCAGGCTTTCTTTTTTCACTAAAACAATAAAGCCAAATAGTATTTCTGATATATTTTCTTTCCTTCTTTCCTTGCAATCAAAATGGAATGTTCCATTAGTTATATGAGGTAATGGTAGGATATAACTTACTAACAGAGGAACAAGCTGAATTATAATACAATTATTTCTTTGGAAAAGTTAGTAAATGTAAGGTTGTTGCCTTTATAAGCATAAATGTTCATAAAGGACACAATACTTTCAAAGTAGGTTTCTTTAGTTTAAGACTTGATGTTAATAAACTCAAATTGAGAGTAATAGAAATGATTAGTCAAAGGAAAAGGATAGAAAATGAAAGGAAAAGAAATGGCAACTAAATTTTTTATTGTTTCAGTTGGTCTGTATATTATTAGTAAACATCTATATTTTTGCTATCTGCATGGCACATAAGGTCTCTTGAAAAGGTTTCTATAATCAAATTGTTCAACACTGTAGGGCAACTGACCTCATGTTCAACCTCAGTACTCAAAGAAGGGTTGGTTTTCTGCTGAGGGTTTTCCTTCCCTTAAGTGACTGTGAATCCCATGCCAAAGAGTTCCATTTACCTGTATATCGGTATTCAGAGATATCATTCTTTTAAACTGGTTGCCAACAAAGGCTGAAGAGCACAGTTTGTCCTGATATTTAATGGAGAATGGTAGGGAAGAGATGAATTCATACCTTTCCCAAGGATATTGCAGGAAAGTAAATGTGACAAATTTGAATAGAATTCAAAATTGTCTCACCAATTTCTCATTCTGAGATTCTAACCATTACATTACCATTACATCATCCATTAGTAAACATCTACTGTCATTTAAATATTTTCAGTTCTCCTTTGACTTTATAGGAATATTTAGGAATGAGAAAAAAAAGAGCATGGAAGATGAAGAAAGAAACCCAAACAAAAGTGGCACGAAAGAGATAAAAAAGAATGCATGGAGAAAAAGGCAAAATAGGATGCAGAAGAGAAGAGGGAAAAGGGGGCACTAAGGAGAAGGGAGACAAAAAAGAAAGGTAAGAGGGCATAAAGGAAAAGAGAGAACATAGGGAAAAGAGGGCACCGAGGAGAAGAGGGAAAAGAGTGCTCAGAGAAGGAAGGAGAAAAAAAGAGGGCACAAAATGTCATCAAAACAAAGACTTTTTTTATAAAGTCACAAACACTTAAGTAACACAGATGCTTTACAAAGATTGAAATCAGCAAAGTTATATATGAAAGCATAATTTTATTTTATTCTATTGTTCAAAAAAGTTTGAACATTTCTTTGGTGGTGTGCTCTGGATATGATACATATATTCCTGATATACTCTTATTACTGACCAAAGCAGTTATCAAAGATAAGAGTGCTGCAACCTTATGACCCCAACACTCATTCTGCAATCAAACAGTGTTCAATCCTGTCTGTACACCATGGATGTTACATTTACACCACCTCTTTACTTACTAGTAAGTACTGAACATCTTCAGCCCAACCCACTTCCATAAATCTGACCAGACATCAAAATTTTTTCAAAGGTCTTTTTAATTGGTATGACATCAGATATATATCACCTGTCTGAGTTAATTTCTTCAAGTGGTGGTAAAGTGAAATAACCCAGTGTTTTCCTGGCTCAAATTTTTTGGCACTTCAGTTTATATAACATTACATCAAAAGCACTATTATAATAAAATCATTGAATGTTCAAGCTAGATATTAGTGGGCGCAGATGTGCTGATGTAAGGAACAATCAATCAATAAATAATATATATGTAAATTGCTTCTCTTAAAAAATGTTTCTAACAATGTTCACAGATATATAGCCACCAAGTGTATCTTCTCAATGATTTGAAAATATCTATATGTTTTATTACTATAAATGTTATATTTAGTAGGTACACACGTTTCAGTAGACATCCCTAATATTTTTTAACAGTCCAAGTAATGTCTACTGGCCTAGAGATTGAGAACTTCAATTAAAAAATGTGCCTCCTGACAAGAAATGAACCTGAATTCCCCTTCCCAATCAATTAGGCAACAGGAAGCAATCATAACAAATAAATACACAGTTACCCTATTTAAGAAATGCACATGTTGTGAAAGGCTATAGCTGCTAGCTTTATTTTCCCATATGAAATGTAAATAAAGTAATGTTTAAGCAATTAATTTGTTTTAATCTAAAGTGATTTCTCTGATTGGAAATGGTGAATAAATCTTTGAGGCACATTTTCTTTACAAAGACTTCTCAATCTCTAGGCTAGTAGACATTAATTTCACTATTTAAAAAATAAATGTCTACACAAACATATGTACTCAAAAATGTTTCTCATAAGAAATGTTATTTAAAAATCTATTAATTGTTTATATATATATATATATATATATATATATATATATATATATAAATGGAAATGGACTAACTCTGACAATTATTTTAATATATTATTTGAACCGGTAAGTGTAATTAGTACTGTTTACTATAAGTGGAGCATTTGCTTAAATAGTTATATCTATAAAATAAATATAACAGTATATATATATATATATATATATATATATATATAACCACATGTAGCTTGTCGAAATGTTGGCTGGGTTCCTTTTTTCGTCACAATTGATATAAAAAGAAAAATTTCAAGCTTTATAATTATTAACTGGGGTTTAAACTGAGCCCCCATTGGATTAAAATGTAAGTTTAATGTTAATGCATATGTAAAAAAAAATAAAATAAAATAAAACCATATGTGTAAATTTTGTTCATGTCTTGCAGCTCTCAAACATCTGAACTTTATCGTATGTGGCTTTTACATTAAGGAAGTTTGACCATCCTTGATATATATCAATTCAATTTTCATTTACTTTTGTTAAGTATATTAGTGAACTTCATAATTTGTGGAATTCCATTTCAAATACTCCATCTATCAGAGTAAAAATGAAAAAAAAAATAACAATTTCAAAGCAGATTTGCAGTTTGTAGAAAGTTTAATCATAAATTTATAGTTAATTTACCTCCTTGGAAGCAGCTGTGAAGATATCTTATGAGAAACCTCTTTGTCCCAGGTTTTATGCTGGACATGAATTAGATGGGGATTCAAGATAATTTGTTGATAGTGTTGAAAGCAGTAAAAGCAATGATAACTCCAGTGGCTGATAAGATATTTCATCAATATGTTATACAAAAATAGTCCACTGTGCAATTTTACAGTCACCATTTGATTCTTGTCTTTAAAAATTCAAGGACAGTATGAATACTGTCCTTGAATTTGGTCATAAAGCGTCAATATGTATGTTTTTTCCACTAGCTCAATACACCATTTAATCTTCCTTCTGCAGCTGCTTCACACCCCCATATTTTTTAATAGTTCATTTTTCCACAGGTGTTTTTTAAGTTTCACCTTCAGTTTTTGAAGTAAGATTAGCTTCAGCTTAAAAAATATAAAACATTCATTATTTGACATTAAAGCTTTAATTTCAAATACCTTCTTTTATAGTTCTTTTCCTTTGTCACTAGATTTAATTTTGAAAGGACAGAGTAGCTAAGGGTTGAAAGGGTGTAAAAGAAGGAGAATAAATTCAAAGAGTAATTGTGAAAGAATAACAATCAAAAGACATTTTTATAAACTTCTGAATATTTGCTTTTAAAAGGATAGACCATTAAAAATGGGCTGGAAAAAAGAACAGAGCAGATCCTTTTAGAATATATGCAAGAAATGAAACTAATTATTACCTTAGAAAGATTTTTGATAGAAATTAAATTTTAACAATGTTTAGCATAAGTTGAGAGTTAATGAAGAGTATCTGAGAAACAATATCATAGGAGTCTATGGTAGAGCTAAAAAATAATCAATTCGTAAATTCTACTCATTATTCTCTTTTAGAGGAATGAAATTTACTATAAGCTTCTATGTGCTATGTTCTTTCAGAACGTAGGCAAACATGGTTCTCCACAACTTCCTGTCCTTTGTAGCTCTTAATAAATTTCATCTTTTTGCTATCTTCCCCAAACCCTGCCCCACCAAACATTCACTAAAGCTTGCAAGGTAGAACGTACGTACACTCACACAATACAGAATGTACACTCTCACACACACACACACAACATAGAACGTACGCACACACACTCACACAACATAGAACGTACATACACACACACACACACACACACACACACACACACACAACATAGAACGTACGTACACACACACAATATAGAACATACACACACAGTCACACAGCCATACTCATACGGTAACTGCTCACTTGATTATGAGGATAATCCTCTTTACTTCCTAACCAAGCATCTATTCTCACTGCCACCTCATGGTCTCTGTAATGACTTTTCACTACTGGACTTTAAAAAAGCAAAGCAATATCAAAGTTGAAATAGCAAACATGTCTGTGCAATTGTTTGAGGTTAGAAGTGGTACAGCATTGTATCAACCTTCTCTGTCCACAATTACATAATCCAAAGACAGACCATACTGTCTGGTAAAAATTCTCTCAATATTAGTCATCATTATCTAGTCTCTATGGAATTGTTGAGTGGTTAATCAAAATCAATCCTGACATAATACCCTTAATTCCAACCTGAAACATTTGCCCATTAAATCTATAATATAAAACACACGTAGCCTGATCTCTCCTGCCTAGTAATGAGATATACAATTATTACATAATAAGCAAACAAACCTTGTGTTAGCATAACAGAATATTTTATTAGTGAGTAAGAGAAATCAGGTGGTTCATACATTGGTTTTATTTCTTTTGTGTTAATTTTATTCTTTATAAACTAAAATTTTTCTTACATGCAGCATTAGTTGATTGTATAGTTAAAAATTCAAGATTACTCATGCAGAAACTATAAATAATGCAATGGCAAAGTAATTTAAATTTTCCAGTCATTTTTTACTGTACAGGTAAGCTAGTAAATAAATAAATAGATACTACAAAAAATCTAATGGCATGTTTGCAGGCAAAATGAAATGTTAAAGCGAACAAACCTTCAATGCCATGAGCAAATTTATTGAGGATGTAATTGACAGAAATCCAACCATAAACTCCTTCTTGTTTTCCAGTGATTACTTCAAAATGGTTGTCTGCCACAACAAACTTGAAGTCTTTTGGGATGGATGTTTGTAGTTCATCAAGAATTCTTCGTTGTGTACTGAAATGGAATAAAACTTAATTTCAAATTCAAAGAAGTACTGAGTGCTTTAACAAACAACTTCTGCATAGAACCTGAATGGACCCAGTCTGATTTAACCAACTTGGATTTTATAAAATTTTTTTGAAAAAAATTAATCACTAAAATTTTGATGGAGCCTATTTTAACAGTGAATAAAAACAAGCACTAATTTTCTCTTTACAAAATTTGTTTAGACTCCTGACCTATTCTTTTTTTTAGTTGTTTTTGTTGCTTGCCTATTTTTCACCTGATATATTCTATGTCTTTCTTCAGGTGTATAATCCATGAGAACAGAGATCCTTTTCTAAAAAAAAGTTAGGTGAATATAAAGAAATGGTGGCTAATATATTGATCAGTTCATTTCCAGCAATGGAAACCATCCAGATGATACCATTCTCACTCTGATGATAGTTAAAATAAAAAGAAGATACAAGTTACAAAAAAAAAAAGTGTTCGAGAAAAGGGGGGATTGCAAGAAAATAATTTCATGAAATGGGATTTTATTTTACTTTACTATAATAGTTTTTCCTTCCTACAAAAAAAAAAAAAAAATTTTTACTTTAAAGTGGTGGTGGGTGCATTATACACAAAAATGGAATTTCTTAAACATTTTTAAAGAACAAAAGGTTGTATTTTACACTTAGTTACATGATATGTGGGCAAGCCAATAAAGAATTTATTTTACACAACAGATGCTTACCTTTCAACAATCTTTTTTGTCAATGCACACTACACCCAATATTTCTCCATTAATCCCACTGTTCAAATATTAGGGAGTTTGAAATTCAGATCAAAATTTAGCTAATATCATAATGAGACTGTGGACTTACTGATCCCTCCCTATGTTTTTAATAAACACAGTAACTAATTTTAAAATGATTTTCATTTTCTCTACATCAGCCTCAAGAAATTTATACTTTTATTTGGTTGGCCCCAAAACTGAACTTATTGTGAGATTTCAACACAATTCATTTGCTGATTGTGTTGGCAACTGTCATATTAGCATGTATAGCTGAAAGTTTTGCCAAAAATTGGCATATTTATGTTTACTGATTTAAATATATCACTGAAAAATGGAATGAAATATACATCATATTTTTAAAAAGTGAAATAGTAACTCATTTTTCCTCAATAAACTAAAATTCTACACTGGATTATAATTGTTATTAACTAATATTTACTTACCTTTCAGGCAAAACTCTCATGCCAGCAGTTGCCAAAATATACAACAGTGTTTCCGAGTGTTTTTCTTCAGGGATGTGTTGAGCAGCATATGTGAGTAAAGGACGAATATAGGTACTCGATGATGAAGGGTTGTCTCCAAATGTGGACAGACCTGATGAGAAGAAAAAAGTCCAATACAATTGTTCTTTTCTCAATGTTTATATATATATATATATATATATATATATATATATATATATATATAGAACATAAAAACAAATTTCAACAAAAAATTGGAAAGAAAAGAAAACAGCATAAATTAAAAATAACAGATTTTATACAAAAGTCACACAATTTTGTTCTTTCATCCCAAATGAGAGATGCCAGCTTAGTGGGAAAAGTTTTAACAATTTAATACTGAAGCACACACAGAAACATATATTTCTTTTGTTCTGATCTGAGGAAGCCTATCTAATGATGGTGAAACATGTAATCAAATAACAGAAACCACATCAGTTGAGAACTTTCAATAACAGCAATAACTAAAATGGACAGCACATCTAACTTGAAAGGAGAATAATGACATAATCAGAATGTTGACATTTAACACAACTTCAAACAAATTGAGAAACAAATTTTACTGAAATAATTGTTTTAATAGAAAGTTTTGATAAATTTTAATTGAAAGCACTTCTGGCTGCCCAGTTGATGAATACTGAATGTTTCCTGATAAAGAAATGGCTAATATCACCATTAAGGACGTTATAATTAATGACAAACTTTAGAAGGGTCATTGTTCTTCTAAATTTTATTGATTGATTTGTTTTTTTTATGACATATCAAAATTTTGCAGGTTATTTAAAGCCAAAAAATATTTTTAGATTGTAAATCTACTAATTAACCCATAGCTAGGGTGAGAAGATATTGGATTCATACCATTTCCAAGGGCATTTGCACATAAGTGAATATAACAGACCCAACTGGAATAGGAACTCAGCTCTCTGATTTCCAATTTCAAGCTGTTAACCATTACATCAATTATACATCCAAGCTTACAGCACCTGGTATTCCCAAGGAGTCATTTATCTAGGTACTGACCAGGCTCAATGTTGGTTAACTTTTGTGATTGTATAAGAATCATTGTTTCAACATATAGACCCCTCTCTACCCTGTCTACAAGGTCCTGTAGTTTCCTTACGGAGTCAGCCATCAACACAGTGTCATCTGTATATCTTATATTGTTAAGATAATGCCCGCCAATAATAAATCTTGGTAGGGTCTCCAGTTCCATTAGGATAGTGATGCTGTAGAGATTGGATAAATCTGGAGACATAACACATCCTTGTCTCATGCCACTTTCTATTTTCATTTTTTTTTATTTGTTTTTATAAGGTTTACCAAGATTTTGCAGGTCATTTAAAACCAAAAAATATATTTAGCTTATAAGAATTTTTTTTTTTTTAGATAATACTGACTTACTGATATAAGTTCTACTAATTAGCCCATAACTAGGAGGGAGACATTCATACCTTTCCCAAGGGTATTTGCATATAGGTGAATATAACAAATCCAATTGGAATAGGAACTCAGCTTTTTGATTTCCAAGTCTACAGCATCTGGTATTCCCTAGCAGTTACCCATCTAGGTGCTGACCTGGCTTAATATTGCTTAACTTTGGTTGTCATATGAGAACTGGTGTTTCAAAATGATATGCCTATAAGCTATGTATTTATTTTCTATTTGTATGCAGGCAGTTTGCTCCCAAAAGTATTTTAATTGCTAAATTTTGACTAATTTTTATGTCATCCCATTATTGCTTTCTATCACAATGTTTAACTGACTGTTGAATCAGCTTGTCTTGGTTCCCAACTCAATAAAATAAAATAGGCATAGCAGATATGTTCCCAGGATGTGGAATGCAAGTTCAAATCTTATTGGAGGTTACTTCTTCATTTCTAAACCATCCTGATTGCTTAATATAAACAGTTAAAGAATGTAAAAATCTCATGATTGTTGTGATGCAAAGAAAGAATAAGATAAAATAAAAAATAGCCAAAAAAACAGTAAAAAAATAGTAAAAATAAATCATGGAAATGCTATGTGAAGAAATTCAGACAACTTAAAACCATACGGTTAATCAAATATTGATTCTCTACATGTATGTTCTTTGATACAGACTTTATATTCACTCAAGAATTTATATTCACCCTTGAAGAAAGGCATGAAATTGCTTTTCCTGATACTGTCTTACTACCAAATACAGGTGTAACATGATTACATTACTTTTAAAGCAAAGAACTATTAAATTTTAAAGAATAAAAAAATTAATGATTTTAAATTTGTAACTCAAATAATGAGCAGGATTAGTTAATTTTTTTAATTTTAATCTTTTTAATTTAATTTTTTTTAACTTGACACTTGTGTTCTATAGTTTGATCAAAAATCTAACAAAAATTTTAAATTCTCAAAATCCACACCATATTTACAAAACAAATAGGATAAGAAACTTCAAAATTGCTTTTTTTAAAATAAACTAATACTTATAGACATAGTTGCTCCTCTACTTATGATAGGTTTATGTTCTGATGGGATCCCTGTAAAGTCAAAAATTACTATTATATAGAGTTTCCCTTCCAAAATAATAATAGCATTCCTCCTCTTTTGACAAAGATATACTTGGGCATTTAGCAGATTCAGTAGTGGGAACTGAATATATGATTTAAAAAAATAGCAAAAAAAACCCACACAGAGTATAAAATAAAACACTACAAATTTAGACACAAGAAAATGTTAATGTTCACAATAGCTAGAGACACTGTTAGTTGATTGGATACTGCAGCCATAATTCAGCATTAGCAGAAAAATCATTTGGCATTGCAGAAAACACACAAAAAATGAAAAGTTAAATGTTTACTAACTACTAAATGTATTTCTATTATAGTATTGCAAAGTAAAAAGCTGGTAAGTTGGGCCCTCACAAAGTAAAGAGCATTTGCATATATTGCAAGAAATAAGCGATTGACACTTGTCTATGCAGCTGCAAGGCTGTTACGTATATTGTCAACATTGGCAGAACTTAATCATACACAACTAATGTCCAAATAATATATATGAATGTGTGCATGTGTATGTGTAAAGAGAATTTTAGCTGGAATTACTTACCAGGAGTTATCTTCTTGACAATAGGTCGTCCTCTAGCATCCATGAGTTGTTCAATTTGCAATAACTCCTTAGGATTACCAGAATGGGTAGGCCACTGGTACACATATACACGGCTCCCACTGCTACCACAGTCAATGACAATCCCATAATGGTTACCACCTGTGGCACCACCCCCAATTCTGTTTCCAGAAACACCCTCTTCTTTGGACAGAGGGTAGGAGAGTGGAGGCAGAGGGTGGCGTCGGATGAACTGCTGACTGACATAGCTGGCTGAGTGTCGCAATTCAAGGAACATGATGACTGCAGCTGTGTAGATGACCAGCAGCAGAACAAGGATGATGACACATTTTAGAGACAAGGTGATAGTCACCGGAGGGGATGGTGATGATGTCAGGTAGCGACACCAATTGCAGGTAATTCTGAAAAGATAAAAATTAACATGATGAAAAAGGCAGCAAGATTGAAGCAATATGTTCAGCTGAAAAAAATAAATAAATAAAAAAAATAAACAAGAATTTGTTGAACTTGAAGCTATAACTTGCCAAGAGAACAAACTTTGATATATGTCATCTGATGGGAATCTAAGTTATGTGAAGTTAATTCATTCAACCCTAACTCTTAAATATTGAATTATTAGTTATGTTATCATATAAAGCACCTATATGCATATTAAAATACCATTTTGAATAAGTCATACAAGTGTGTAAGATCATTGTGATATGATTCTGCCTGTGTCTAAACAACCAAACATTTTTTTTAATCATTTCACCCCAAACAAAGCAGCAATGCCACTAGTACACAGGGGGTTACAGAGAGTGAAAGTGAGAGAAAAGACTCAGTATGGGGGGAGTGAGGAAAGGATAAAAGATGAATGGGATTCAAGAAAACTGAAGATAGCAATTGATGTTGCATTTAAATTTTTGAAGACTGTAGTTCTCAAAGAAATAAGTAAAAGGAAGGGATTTTCACAGGTGGGAAGTGTGAGAAAAGAAACTGTTAGAGTAGAAGTAGCAGTTACATTTAACTATTTTGAAAGTAAAAGGGTCATACTCCTTTCTGTAAGCAACTAATGCATTTAGTGTGTTGTTTTGTAAAAGATCACTTTTGTCTTCATATAATCTTTCATTTAAATTCCTTGAGGTTTCTTCTAGGTATTTCTTTTGACAAATATTACAGGTGATAGAGTAAATTTTTCCTTCAAGTTTTAACTTATTATTTTGTTTTGTATTAAGACTTTTTTAGTAGTATTTGCAACTAATTTTATGTTGGGCTTAGATAAATTCTTTTTAAGTATAGTTGCAATAGAGTTAGTGGGTTGAAAAATATATTGATTTAAAAAATGGTACTCTAATTAAAAGAGAAAGCCAAAAATGTTTCGAAAGTGCTTTAATTGCTAGATCATCCACAGTAAATTTACGTCCAGTTTCTTACAACATTTTACTTTTCTTGGCAGATCTTCTATTTTCACAATGTGGGATATATAATAACAAAAATGATAAAAATGAACAAAAAGAAAAATAAATTAAAGGAAATTATCTATTTAACCAAAACATAAAAAAAATAGTATTAATTCTCAGCAAATCCTTTCTTTTGTGTGCATGTATAGCTGCATCAATGTAAACATCACTTTTGTCTGATGAAGTCCTAAAGGATAAAGCACATCACACAAAAACATTTTCCACTGTCATAGTTGTTTCCTATATATATATATATATATATACAATGCACGTAGGCACACAATTAGGTAGGTGTTTGTCATGTTTTTTGTCTTTCATGTTTTCTCCTTTGGCAGGCTTGTTATTGTTAGGCTTTGTTCTTTGATGCTTTACTGATTACTTGGTTTATTCTGGTTATAGCTCCTGCTAGTTATGTGCTAGAGCATTTTTACTTTTCACTAATTCTAGGGTTAAAAATATGGAGGGAGTTAACTAACTACTTATTAAGACCTGACAGTTACCATAGTGTGAATTTGTATCAGAGTTCTTGAGCGCTGTTTAGTGCTACCCCCCCACACATTATATATATATATATATATATATATATATATATATATATATAGTGCTATATATATAATAGAATAGTGCTGGTGTTAATAGAACAGTGCTCGATGTAATACAACAGAGCTATTGGGTATATATTAATAAATATACATATTATCCCTAACTGATAGCACAACTCCATGTTCCATGCACAATGTAATCTTCAGATGTTGTATATTGGCTGACTGTTACATAATTTAAATTTTAATAAAAATATCTGGTTATCACAATATAAACACACATAAAAAACTGAAACATTCAGAAAGAAAAACAGTTTTCCTGTTTATATTGACAAATCATCAAATTTACAGGCCATTTTCAAACAGAGTCTCAAAGATTGTGTACAATAGACTGTTAAATCTACTATTCGAGGTATTTTTGACTGCAAAATCAGAAATGTTGCTATGGAAAAGTGGATGCACTACTCATTTAAATTTCAGGAGGAGTACAAACAGGAACAAGACCAACAGAAAAAAAAAAACTTTTTCATGCAACAAAGCTATGAAGATTTGAGAAGCATATTTTATAAACATATCAATAAAATTAACACACATGTGCTTTTTGGTGTTTCACAACCCTCAGAAGGATTTTCCACCAGTTCAAGTAGGTTCTGGCATTTTCATGTCTTTCATTTGTTCATGCTTCCAAGCAAAATTATTCTCACATAACTTGGAGAGTTTGTCAGGAGCCCAAATAGCATTGTTGGAAATATCATCAGGCTTGTTTGTATCTTTTATAGCTGTTTCAAAATTTGCCAAGTTTTTATTTGTAGTCACATCTCCAGTAGCCTTGGTTGAACTACTCATAGCTTCTTTTTGTTTTTCTGAGCTGGGCAATTTTTCCTTGTTCACTCTAAGTTTTGTCATTTTATGATTTGACTTTTCTTCACTGGTCAAGTTTTCTTTAGCCACATCCAGTGTGTGTGTGTGTGTGTGTGTGTGTGTGTGTGTGTGTGTGAATGGATCTGTCAAGAAGATGGTTGAGGTGTACTAGTATTCTCCATTGTTAATGATGAACTTCTTCTTTGAAGGTGAAGATTCATTTGTACTAAAAGACTGAACCCCTTCAGTACTAGAAACATTGTGAATGTGACAATAAAGATGAGGACAACAGTCTGAACAATATAAATAGTGAAAATAGTTACAATACCTCATCTCAGAAATATACAGATATCAATAAAAATTTTCCTGTTACTAGTAAGCTCCATAAAATATTTAATAGCAGCATGATTAAATTGAATTACTGTTAAACAAATTGATCAGACTAATAAAAAAACAAAAAACATGAAGGTATTGTTCACATGTGATACAATGCTAACCACCTCTTCTCACTTAGAAATAGAGATAGCTAACACTTTGGGGGAAAATGTTTCACTACTAATATACTCTAACAGGCAAATGTAAAGATCAAAGGTGAATCAGATATATCATATAGTGATGTTTCTGAAAGACTATGTAAACAAAAATTCTACAAAGGAATAAGTTCTTTACAAGAAGATAGTAGGATAATAGTACAATGCATTCTATATATTTGTGGGGGATGAAAGACAAAGGCAAGAATACTCTGAAAGTGGAATAGAAAATATCAAGGGAAGCATTTGCATGCAAAAATGGATCTAGAAAGTGTGGATAATACCTGGAAGAAAGGTTATGCATGTTAGAATTCCCCCAACAGGAAAGTCTATTGAATACAAAACCAGAATAACTTTCTAAGTATAGGCATGAGAACAAGTACTTGCTCTGCTGCATACACTGATCAGAGATTCTTCTAGGGTTTATTGTATGCCTGAAGATTACCTAAGCATGAAACTTCTTAATCTATGTATTTATATATCATAGAAAAATGTCAGGTGATATAATACAAGCTAAATGAAAATTCATTACCTTAAGTGACATATTTTCAGGAATCTCTTATACAAATATACAAAAACTGACAACTTAAAATTATTTCTTAAAAATTTACATAAGTGTACCTGAAAAGGGGAGAAGGTTTTGCTGTTATTCTTTGTGCAAAACAAAGTATGACTGCTTACTTAAAATATAATTTTTATCTGCTAATCAGAAGCTAACCAAACAAACAAGAAAAATAGAGAAAATAAGAAGTGTGGAGGAAGACCAACATGGGTAGATGGAGAAAAAAATGTTAATGGGAAGGAAGACAAAATTATACAGCATAAAAATTATTCACATTGTATATACAACCATTATGCATTTTCACCTCAGATAAGAGTACCTGCTGGATCATCAATCTTTGGAAGCTGATATCAGGTTTTCTAACAGAAAAACTTATAAAACAATATTAAACAAAAAGGAAATGGGGAAAAAAAAAGAAAAGAGAAGGAAAAAACAAGGGTGCGAAAGAGGAAAGAAAGTGAGAGAAAAAAAAGAAAACTTAGTGAAAGAAAAAAGTAGAGGTTCTGAAAAGTCCTTCAGAAATTGAAACTTAATCATTTTATCAGATTTTAAGAAGTGATTGGTCAAACCAAGAACATTCAGCATTTCTGTTATAAGTAATGAAGTAGTGTAGCTGTGACACCTATTGATCAAGAACTTTCCAGTAGTCCCTTGTACATATATAGAGAAGAGAAAGGGACAGAAATAAAAGAAAGACAGTGAAATAGGATTGCTGGCTGGATATGAAAAGACAATGAGCAAAAGAGTGAAAAGTAAGTGGGGACAGAAAAAAACAAAAATTGCAATGCATTAAAATTCTTTATGGAGAAATAGAACAAAAGAAAAATAAAAGATACTATAGAAAATATTTAAATTCTTTATTTCATTTTTGTATATGAAACATTTAGATAAAAACATAGTCAGGCAATGAAGGATGCAAAGGATAAGGGAGAAAAATGGGAAGATACAGGCAAAGGGGAGAGAAGAGCAAAAGAAAGATAATGGATGATTTTAATTGTCAATACCCATTTCTATGGTTCCAGCTGGCAGATATGAATATGGTAGAAAGACACCTGGCTTAGATCAATGGTAAGCATACTAGTCTTAATGGCTTTGTGTAAGCATAAGATAAATTTATCTTGGCTGTCTTGTCTTGGTGCAGTGGATAGCAAAGTAGCCTAAGCCATACTAAGCTCAGCTTTGTAATATTATTATGATATGATTTTAAAACATAATTTAAGTCGGGAAAAAAGTTTATAAAAAAATTATGTAAAAATTAGTCTAGAGGGATGAAAGAATGAGTTATAGTTTTAAGCTGTTTGAATTTCTTAGATAAAGCATTGTCAACAATTTTAAACCTGTCTTGCTTTTCATCTTATTTTTATTCAATGGCATATTATTTGTTTACATGTAGCTGTACTAGATATAATAGTTTGATGTTATCTGAATTTCTGCAAAACAGCATGCATTGAAATGATGGCCCTGAAA